ATCATCCCAACGTGATTATCGGCCGATAGTGATCGGCAGCCGATCGATCGGAGCACCCCTAGTAACTAAGCTGTTTTATGGACGGTAACTGTAATATTATTACTGGAATCTTATTAGTAATTAGTTACACTGCTAGTTACTGCAAGGAGTAATATTATTACAGTAACTAAGTGACTAGTAACTGCCCGCCACTGCTAGAATGAAGGAAATCAGTCACTATTGCAGGCTTGCCAAATCCACATTTTATGCACGGAATCGGGCTGATTTTAACTGTTGCGGCAGGTTGATTTTCTGCCGTGGGTTAAAGGTTTGAAATATTGCATAACTTACATTTGACTGAAATGCTTGTATTGAAACATTGTGCATAAACTGTGGTAGATGTGAAGTTTTGTGAAGGACGGCCACTGGTAGGAAGCCTTTTAGCTGTGTTTATGATCAATCTGTATAACTGTGACTATAACATATGTATTTTAGGAATGGAAATGACACGGAGTTCTGATATGGTCTCTGTGCTACTCCACACTTCATCCTGCCCCACTGTAGGCCTACCTCTGTTTGGATAACTACAATACGGTCACACTATCTTTAGGAGAAGGGTGGATACAGAACATGTTTTATAGTCGCGAAGTTAAACCTACTGAAAGAGTAAAAGCTTTCTGTGACAGATGAGAAGGACAGATGAAACCCCAAACAACGATTAAAAGTAGTTCCAATGTAAACAGAAGCGTGCGAGGCTGTCAGTACAGAGGCACACATGGCGGTGTCAGAGGAGCTCAGACGGATCATGATGAACTCACCCGCGGACACTTTCAGCAGAAGCAGAGAACAGAAGCAGAAGCAGCGAAGCGCCTTCATCTCCGCATTGCGCTGCTGCTCACAACACAGGAGGCACAGCTTCAGTCATGCAGAAGTCATGTTCGATGGCTCAGCTGAGTGTTCTTCTTCTTCTTCTTCTTCGTCGCACCGAGGTGACGCAATCGGCCTTCAAATGCAGCCTTCTTCTTCTTCTTCTTCTTCTTCTGTGGATTTATTGGCGGGTC